TTCGGAACAAATATTCGAGTGTCTTTGACGTCGTTTTAGGATTAAGGTTACTCAAACCAATAACTCCTCGAAACCCTTAAAGTCCAATGAGTCCAAATCACTACCCTAATTTCATTTTGCATCTAAAGTATTTTGTTAGATATTGTCTGAAACGGCTCATTTGTTTCAGAATTTTCCACCCTATAATTTTAAACTTAGACGGTGCACAAGAATGACAATGTTAACGACTTTAGTATACTCGGCAGGTGTAGTCTCCAAGTAAACTTTAGACATTCAAGAGTTCAAGACATTCGTATAGATGACCAAGAAGACATGATGAAATTATAGGGGATCCGTTTTTGCCTTTTGTCCCACATGAGAAAAAGAGTGAACATATAAAAAAATAAAAGATTTTAATCTCATGGTATACAATATATTCGTATGTATGTAGTTTTGTCCAAATCAGTATGTTAAGCCGTTTTATACATCACTAGTGGCTAACCGTGGCTAACCCCGCGTTCAAAACTTCCAATCGCTACCAAACTTCACAGTATTACCCGCTCGGGTAGTCTGAAAATTTCATCAAAATCGCTCCAGCCGTTTTGGGGTCCATAGGTAACATACACACGGCGATTTTTATATATATCGATTATGCCAATCAGATAAAAACAAATTGTGATTTTGTTATAAAACTTTTAAATATGTATTGTCAAGTTATTTATTGCAAAGGCGATTTCTGTTGGCAGCTAAATCAAATTATCTTCTGAATTTATCGATGTAATGTCTTTTTAGGATAAATCTTTAATTTATTCCTTTTAAGCTTTTTAAATACTTATTTTATCCAGCATTAGTTTTTGTTTATAGTTTTGTCCACGTGTGTGTGTCTATTTGGTTTGATATACATACATTTGCTATTTATACACGAATGACGAATGATAGAATGAATGTATGTCTGTGGAATTACCACAGACTAATATGAATATCTTTGGTAGTCGGTAAATAATAACTAGTTCTCTTAGTTTTAAATAATGAATATGTGCCAACACCAATCGTAAGCTTTATTTAATATACAATATATATATATATATATATATATATATATATATATATGTGTGTGTGTGTGTATAACAAGTAACAACACGAGCGACTTGCTCTTACTTCGCGCAGTTGCATATCTAAGCTAATTGCCTTTAGTATAAGGTGTCCTAAATTTCACGCAAGATTTGAATTAAATAACTCAAAATCACAGTTTATCATTTTTTTTAATTGAAACGTTTTTAGGCTAGGGTTATGTATGTAATAACATATTCGGCAAAACACCTAGCGGGCATTTCAAGTACTTTCATTATTTTAGATAAATGTTGCCGAATTTCGATGAAGTAGCAGAGGGATCTAAAAACTATAGATTCGGACTCGGTATCGTCAATAATGTCTATTTAAAAAAAAATCCAAAAAAAATTTTTAATGTACAGATTCGGCTTAGTTACAATTTTATTATACTCGTGTGTATAGATTTTTCAAGTTGTATCAGAAATAATCTTATTATATCTATACTATAATAAAACAGTAGAGGTCGAAAATGCTAAAAACCGAGTCACGGGGATGTAAGAAGACAAATAGAACAAATCCAGTTTTTTTTCAATTTTTTTGTTTCTCTGTCTGTTTGTCTGTTTGTACGTACTAATCTCCGAAACTATTACACCGATTAAAATGAAATTTTGCATGGTGGTACTTTATATCCGCGGTCAACATCTTAGATACTTTTCATCCCAGAAAATTAAATAGTTCCCGTGGGATAGTTAAAAAACTGTAGTATCTTATACAGCTTAGTACACAACAACTTATGCACCTAATTTAGTAAAATTTAACATTCTGATACCTTATATTGCCGGTCAAACAACAGGCTACTTTTCATCCCGGAAAAATGAGCTGTTCCCGTGGGAACTAATAGACTTCTATTAGTGTTTTTTAGAGGCGAACCCGAGCGAAGCGAGGGTGAGTCGCTATGTTACTTAAATATACTTACTGTTTGCTTTGTTATTGTTCGTGAGGACGATAAGCCGTCATAACATACTTTGATATAATATTTAAGAACTCTTTTAGATTAGAATATAAATTGATACAATAGCAATATACTCGTAAAATGAAATAGATATTGTTATTTAGTAATATTATTCCGTTTGTATTCAAAATCTTTTTTTGGCCACGAAACATTAATATTAATCATAAAAAGTAGGATACAGTTACGCCGCGTCTTTTCTCGCGCCCAGTTTGATTTTTCAAATATTTATCTCTTTTCACTCCCAGAAGGGGTTGTTTTTAAAAAACAAGAAACACGTGTATATTTATTTATACATACATAGATAGTAATCTTGAGATTTTTTGAATCGATACATCTCTCTCATATGATTTCTTCACACAAATTTTGAACCCCCATTTCACCCCTATACGGGTTGAATTTTCAAGCATCCGCTCTTAGCTACGGCCACGTAGCGTCTAGCCTACGCCATAATAGCTAATCCGTTCAGAGGTCTGAGTTATGCGTTGATACATCAGTCAGTCACGGTTTCCTTTTATTTTACAGATATATAACATTCCTAAACAAACTTTTATCGAATTTCAACGTATTTCTTTCTCAAGAAGGCGATATTCTGCGAGAAACAGATTATCGTTACTCTGACCTTCAATAACTTTTTTTCTGGCGAAAGCGATATTCTTATAAATTTTTCACTTTTATGAACTCCTCAAATATTATTATGAATGCGAAAGTGGATATTTTTGTTGTCTCTCAGCACCTCTCTTAAGCCAAAAATACTAAAATTTAGCACGTATTTTATATAAAACAAAGTCTTCACAAATTAACAACGACGTAATCAATTATACCGAAAAAGGTCCAAAATTGACTTTATTTACTTAATTAATTTTTCTTTTGATCGCAGTTTTGCTTGGATGTTAAGCAGGGCGGGGATAAAATGTGTTCGTGCTATCATGCTAGTTTATATTCAGCCCTTTTTAAAGTCCCACTACTGGGACCGGGCCTCCCTTCAATACGAGAGGAATCAGGCCGTAGTCCACCACGCTAGCCAAGTGCGGGTTGGCGGACTTCACATGTCTTTCGAAAACTTGCGAAGTTCTCTCAGACATGCAGGTTTCCTCACAATATTTCCTTTATTGTAAGGCAAGTGGTAATCATTTTAGAAATGATTCGCACGTGAAAATATCAGAGAGGCCCGGGATTCCAATCCGCTTCACTCGGTTTCCCAAGCGAGCACGTTACCACTAGGCTACCAGTGCCTTGAAAGTTCTCATAATACAATCTAATTTGCCGAATTTCATCGAAATGAGTTCAACGATTTAAGTATGAAAACGTAATACAAACAGCCAGGCGTTATATTCACATTTATAATATTAGCATGGATTATGTACATAACAATTTCTACTTGAAGAAAGTAAATTGAACAAAACCCTAAAGTCTTTAATACAAATAAAATACATATATAAAGTTGAGAAATTTTCAACAAGTCTTTTACTCTTTATATGTTTAGAACACTCTACTTGGTTCGCTCCGATTATTTCGATCAGTTTGCACCTGTGTACTTAGTTCAATTACGAAAAGATATTCTTTATTTTACTCACTTGTCATAAAAAGTTGTTACAGTTCCTTTAATAATATTATTGGGGCTATCTAATACCTTTAAATGAGCAAATCTTGTATTTTTTTTTCTATATTATATACCGGCGATCTCGGAAACGGCTCTAACGTTTTCGCTGAAATTTGGTAGTTTGGGCTTCTTTGGCAAAAAATTGATCTAGATTAGTCTTATGCCCGGAAAAATGCGTGATTTATAGTTTGCCTGCGGTTTTTTTTCGCATAATTTCACGCAAAATATGGTTGTTAATTTCGCGCGCTCGGACATAAGCATCATGGTCAAGCGGCTAAGACGTAAGATTGACAATCACAGGTCAACAGGTCGGGGTTCAAATCCCGGTCGAATACAAAGTTTTTACTATTCTTTTTTTTAATATTTATTCAAGTTTTTAGTTTTCTTGTTATCTAAAAAATATATAACAAAAAAGAACTCTGAGCGATACTCGGTCACCCAGGTACTTGAGCATAGTTTTAAAGAGTATAGCCGTGGAAAATTCCACACAGATTGAAACTTATTCAATGAAATTCTAATATAATACAAGCAAACGTTGATTATTGATTTTCTTTCTTTCAACAGAGCATTTATTGAAGTAGTTCTAAGCTCTAACTTAAATTTCTTCGTGTCAGTCATTCACACATGTCACAGTCATTTTATTTGTAGAGTATAATTGGTATTGTTAATGAATGAGGTGGCACTCACATGTAATAAAGAGGTAAAAAAATTGAGGACAGAGAAGCGTTAGGTTTATTTTTACAAATAAGGTATAGGTTGATAAACGACCTTTTTATTTAAGTCAATAGTTGCTAAGTAATACACTTCTGAAGTCGTAAGCATTGTGTTACCTCATCCCCTTCTCTCACACCCTGTAACTTGGACGAGATATTTTCGGTTATACGCGTTGTTAGATTAGCGAAATTATCTTTCTTTCCCATGGTATATTTTTCTTGGTATATTTTCCATGGCATATTTGAGGATTATTATGATTGTTAAAATGAAAAGCTTGAAGCTCGGGATGTAGTTACGGTCTGAACAATGCGAGGACGGATTCCTAAGCTATATATTGAAAGTTTTGTGTGTTCAGGATGTTTCACGTAAAAGAATGGCTTTTAAAAAGTTCTCTGTGTTTTCGCTATGCTTCTGACTTTATTCCATTTCAATTAAGTAGATTCAAAGACACAGATATTTTTTATAATACTCTCGTAATACAAAGCAGGTGTCATTTGTACGATGTTAACTGAAAAAAAATACATATATGTCTGTAGCCGTAGGTCTTTGATCTAAACATTGTAAAAATAAAATTCATATTTAGTATTAAATATAGATGGATATTTTTATATTTATATAATTTTTCTTTTTGTTTATATCAACAAGATGACTTCGCATGCCTTAAAAGTTGACAACTGGTCGCACTGCACTACGCCTTCAGACAGGAATCCGCCACCGATGGTGTCCGTCAAAGTTGGGTGTTTCCACATTGATCCAGCGTCCGTGTAAGTTATAACGCATATATACAAATATTCTTCCCAGCAAACTCTTTCATTTAGGATATAATGTGATAGTGCATAAAAAAACATAGTCTGCCATTTTTGGGAGTCCACACACTTAGCTAAGCATGCATTGTCTGCCAAAGTAAACGCGTATCCAAAATTTCAGCTCAATCGGTTGAGGAAAAGTGCTTTAAAATTTAGTTGCAATATTTGACCTCAACAAACAAACGTCACACTCAGCAACAAATTTACCCCTTCCTACCTTCAACAGACTTACCATCGCTTCACTCGAATGCGTCCCTAGGTGCCAAACTAGCTTATGTGCTACTCCTAGATAACAGTCTATTTTAGTACAAAATTTTATTCAAATCCGTTCAGCCGTTTCGACGTAAAAGAATAGGTAATAGACGTGTGTATGTCTATTATTTCGTTACAGCTAGCGTATGGTACGTTTAGTCACTTTTTGTCACTGGTAGTTCTAATATATTGGACATAACTCGTATTATTTTCTCTACGGCGACAAGAAATGATATTTTAATATAAAGTACATTACTTTGACGACGCGTTTGGCTCAGTTTGTAGTGACTCTACATGCTGTGCTAGCGATCACGGGTTCGAGTCCCGCTGGGGGCCTTCATTTGTGTGATAAGCACGAATACTTATACTCCAGTCATGGGTGTTTATATTTATAATATGTATGTATTTAAAGTTATATATGTGTAGTGTATCAACTATCTGGTGTCCATAACACAAGCCTCGTAGCTTACTATGGAACTAGACGGTGCTGTGTGTTAATGTCCCAAAATGTTTATTTATTAAATGCAGCTAGCATATTGCAAATATTTATTTAGTATATGTATATTTTTACTTTCATTGTAATTTCATCTTGCGAATATAAATTCATTATTATATCAAGGAAAGTAATAAAAATACCGTTTATTATTGAATTTTAAGTGACAGCCCCAAATAATTTAAGCTTTTAATAACAAATAGAAATAATAGTTCCAAGCGTACGGTGGGACGCATTTGGATAATGGTTGCTTGTTGGCAAAACGATTGAGTGTCTTTGCTTTGTAAGGAATGTTAAGCTCAATTAGTTCTTTTGACTCGAAGTGAAGCTTTTATCAGAATAACAATTTGTAAAAGTAGATAAAATTAAATTATGGAAGAACATTTAGCCCTCGCTTCGCTTCCGTGCGTTCTTACGTGACATTCATATTTTTAATATTATATATGGCTATACAAAATATACAGTAGGCTAATTGTGTTAGTTCAGGTCCTAGTCCATCTGTGTTCTCATCCTAATCTATGCAGCGGTTACACGTACACACACGTACAAACACACACACACGCGCACACGCACACACACATTCTAATACTTTAATTAAATTAAAATGTTTAGATTCAATGTTGCAAAATATATGATTTTTTAAAGAACTGTTTTACAAAAACATGTGCATCGAATGGCTTACACGTTTGTAGTTAAAACTCGCATATCGATTCAATAAATTCATGAACAAAGCTTTTATGGTTAGCTTTCAGTTATTCCACTGTAACGAATGTAATACAGTTGAAATAAATATAAAGTAAATGGTGCTAACTGTAAAACTGTTTGTAACATTTTAAACTAAATATACCTATTAATATGGATTAATTTAAATCTAGGTAAATTAAAATGAAACATGTATCATAATGTAAAACATTATTGAAGAATTCGTCTAGGTTTTGTCATTACCAACTTTATTTCGAAACTAGTGAGCTTACATTTCAAAAAAAGTTCACAAAATTTTATCACACTCATAAATAACCAAATTATAACAAACTAGGATTTTCCCGTGGCGTCGCCCACATTGTTTATTTATATTTATTATATATTACTATGTTTTTTCTAAATTATAGCCTCATTGGTACTTTGATTCTATGAGCTATCAACAAAGTTTCATCAAAATCCATTTTGTTAAGTTAGGATGAAAGAGTAACTAACATACATCCATCTATCCTGTTTCTTACTTCTTCAAGCTAATTATTAGGTTTTTTTTGGATTTGGATAAAGCTAGTGATTTGGATGACGTAAACATATGGACTAGGACCTAGCACATAGGAATGCGCCCAAGCAAAGCGAGGGTAAAAACATAAAAAAAACCTTTACGCGCGGTTGAAGTAAAACTTCTTTGGCAAATATCGCAATTAAATTAAAACAAATCAATAATTAAATAAGGCATATTAGATATATTACAATCGTATATTTATAGAATATCATATACGGAAAGAATATAATATTATATATTTGTTAGGCAATAGCAACGACTACCATGGCAACACGGCAATGTATTCTATCTCATTCTCTCGCCGGCTTAATCCTATATATTTGTGTTTGTCTCTTTTTAGTGTCTCATTTTTGTTCCATCGAGTTTCAAATCACAGCGATTCTAAGCAAGTTTTACTTCAAAACATAAAACATGGCTTAAATGAGAATAAATCACGTTGAAGAATATAAATCCTCGATGTCGTAGATTAGGTATAAGGCACAACAATTTTTGTTACAGCAATACAATTTTTAAAAATATTCTACAACTCAGGCTAAGGAATAAGCCAGAGTGACAATAAATTAAGTTCAATAATAATTATACTATAGTTTTAGAATAATATATATATTGTTTTAAAATGGTATACGAAAAAAAATTGTATAATGAGTGATAGGTAAATAAAAATAGAGAAAAAGAACGCTTAAATAAGCTTATATTATTATGTTATCTCTCTTCCAAGGGAAGAAAACGAATGGTGTAAAATACAAAAGAATATCATATATTATTTTTTTTATTTATATTTTATTCTTAAAAATTTCATGCGAAACGATAAGTAATATATGTATGGCAAAATTTTTGTCTTCACTATTTTTTTGGCGGACTCCATGTGTATAATTCTTTAGTCTTCTACAACTGGATAAAACGATATAAAAATGAGTTTTTGTTTACAGACGTGGTCGGAGAATGTTCCTGCTACAAATGGTAGTGCTGTGCTTCGTTCCTCACGCCGCTTTAATTGTGCAGAACTGTTCGATCATGGCGCAGCTCTCACAGACCTTCGATTCTTCATTATTTTTGAATTCAGAGGTAAATTTAGTAATGTATATGCGTATGTATTTTAAGTATTTAGCCCGTTTTTTAACGTCCCACTGCGGAGCACGGGCCTCCCTTCATTATAAGAGGAAAAGGCCATAGTCCACCACGCTGGCCAAGTGCGGGTTAGCGGACTTCGCACATCTTTCTAAAATTTGCTAGGTTCTCTCAGACATGCAGGTATCTTCACGATGTTTTCCTTCACCTTAAGACAAGTGGTAATCATATTGGAAATGATTCCCACATAAAAAATATCACAGTTGCGAGACCCCGAGATTTGAACCCGCTTTACTCAGTTCCCCATGCGAGCACATTATTACTGGGCTGCCTAATAAATTTATTAAACCATTTTCTAATTACCCTATCAACCAAACAAACAATTTTATTTGGAGTTATGTTTTTCGAGTGCATGTTTGTATGTATGTCTATTTCTTTGACACACACTATATCGGCTTCAAGGATTGTAACACATGACAGTCATTGATAAAATACTAGTATTTGCCCAGTGATCGAATTTCAACAATAATCATTATAGAAAATTTTAGGAAAAAGTATTATATGAATAGAATTTACCTACTTATATATGAAAAAAAAAACAGTTTCCAGAATGTTTTTATTGATAGCACTAAAGCTCTTCAATAGCTACTAAACAAAAAAAAAAAGAAAATCTGTTGACAAACAGAGGAGAAAAAGGTACTTTGCCTATTTACATATAGATATGATCTTATTACACGTTTTTATGCATTAGGTTGTATGTACTCAAATAACAGTTTCTTTTATATAGTACTAGCGACTAACCTTAACTTCGCTCACGTTCGTCTCTAGGTGTGTTTTAACGTTTAGTACGGAATAGATAGACTATATATATATATATATATATATATATATATATATATATATATCTTCTTCTTCGTGTACTTCATTGCTGAAGGTCGTGCTTGTCCTGGAATGTTTGCACCGATTTGTTGACTATCTTTCTCCACACCACTCTATCCTCGGCTTGTCTCAGGGCAGTCGGAATATTGAGTCCCGTTATATTTGAAATCTGGTCGGACCAGCGGGTAGGTGCTGGACCAGCGGGTAGGTGCTCGACCGCGTGATCTTTTGCCTTCAATCTTCCCTACTACAACCAGTTTATCCAGATTGTCTGGTTGTCTCCGGGCGATGTGACCAAAGTAACTTAGGACTCGTTGGTAGCATATAGTGGATAGTCTGGCAGTAATCTTCAGTTGGTCGAGAATAGACCTGTTGGTTCTTTTTGCTGTCCACGGTATACGCAACATTCTTCTGTAACACCACATTTCAAAAGTGTCGATCTTCTTTCGGTCAGCTGCACGGATTGACCATGATTCGGAACCGTACAGAAATATGGAGAACACCAAAGCTCGCACGAGTCTGGTCTTGGTGGTATTCGACACTTTCCTGTTTTGCCAGATTCTGGTTAACTTACTCATAGCTGCCTTGGCCATCTGCGTACGTCTCCGAATTTCTTTGTCACAGCCTCCCTGATTGCTTATAAGTGATCCCAGGTACACAAACTCATCTACAAATTCCAGGTCCGCCAGTTCTCCGGTTCGTGCAAAAGTTCCAGCTCGATCTACTACCATGATTTTCGTTTTTTTCTTATTAATGGAAAGACCGACCATCTCACTTGCACGCTCGACTCTTCTAAGTAGTTCAGCCATTTCCTGTTCTGAAGAAGCCAATAGCGTAGTGTCATCGGCGTATCGGAGGTTACTGATCTTGTTGCCTCCAACGGAAATGCCTCCATCCCACTCATCTAGCGCTGTCCTTATGATATACTCGCCGTAGATGTTAAAAAGAAGAGGGGATATGATGCATCCCTGTCGTACTCCTTTTTGTGGTTTGAAAGGAGCGGATACCACGTCGTTCACTCTTACCATTGACTTCCCATTCTCATATAGGTTTGCGAGCAGTGCTATTAAATGCTTAGGAACACCCATTTCTAGGAGGATTCTCCATAGACAATCCCACCTCACGCAATCAAACGCCTTGGAGTAATCAACAAAACACATAATTATCGGAACATTAAATTCCCGGCTCTTCTCTATGAGTTGTCTAATGTTGACAATTTGCTCCCGAGTTCCACGGCCCTTGACAAAGCCAGCCTGCTCATTAGGTATTTGCCGCTGTAGGTAGGGTTGTAAACGTCCATTAATTATATGAAGCATGATCTTACTACCATGTGATATGAGGGCCACTGTTCGATAGTTTTCGCAAATCTTTGTCGAGCCTTTCTTGTGCAGTGGTATCAAAAGTGACTCCGTCCAGTCCTTGGGCCATTTTCCCGAGCTCCAGATCTGATTACACAGGTCCTTAAAGATCTTGACACCTGTGTCTCCTAAGTTTTTCAGTTCTTCAGCGAATATACTGTCTCTTCCGGCTGATTTATTTGTTTTAATTTTTCTAAGAGCTTCCCTGACTTCAGATTCCAGTATTTCAGGCTCTAGGTTTTCATCCATGCTGAATGGCTCAGAGGATCCCCTGTCGTCCTTGTACAGGCTTTGGCAATATGACCGCCATCTTTCTGTAACCTGGTCAATCTCCGTCAGTAGTGTACCCTTACTATCTTGAATCGCCCAAGTTTTGGGTCTTAACTCTCGTGTGATGCGTTTTACTCGTAGAAACAGGTCTTTGGTGTGCAGAGTCCTAGCATGGTCCTCAATATCTTCACATATCGAGTTCAGATATTGGTTGTAGTCTCTACGGCATAAGCATTGAACCCGCGCTGATATGGTGTTATACTGAGCTTTCTCAGAGTCCCTTCTGGTTAGGAGGTCTTTTCTTTCATTAATCGCCTTCCACGTTTCTTCTGATATCCACGCCTTTCTTGAACTACAATAGTTTTGCTGTTGGATGTCTTTTCGTGTGTCGAGAATAATGTCCTTTATTGTAGTCCACTTCATATCTATGTCGATGCTGTTATCTAACTTTAGGTGTGTGACTTTGTTGTTAAAGACTTCTTCATAGGTGTTAAGTGTTTCTGGAGAAGGTCGACCATGATTTTTGACTAGGCTTCTCACGCATTTCTTGAGCTTTACTTTCATGACTGCCACCAATAATTTGTGATCGCTTCCGCAGTCAGCTCCGGGGTACGTTTTTGTATTAATTATACTGGACCTCCATCGCTTTGCAATAGCAATATAGTCAATTTGGTTTCTGGCACGCTCACCTGGCATAGCCCAAGTATATAGCCGTCGTGGGTGATTCTGGAAACAAGTATTCATGATAGACAGAGAGTTTTCCGCGCAAAATTGCAGCCACATCTCACCTCTATCATTTCTATCTCCGAGACCATATTTCCCAACAACTTCTCTTAGATGATCTTCCTGTCTTGTTGATCCTACTTTTGCATTAAGATCTCCCATCAAAAGTGTAATCTCCCTTCTGGGTAGGTTCCTAAGGGTGTCCTCCAACATTCTGTAGAAGTCCTGAATCTCTTCTTCTGTTGAACCCGATGTTGGGGCATATACAACCACCAGATTTAGACGACATGGTTTTGTGTTAACTTTCATGGTGATTATCCGATCACTCACTGGGTGGTATCCCAGCACAGATTGATTGATGTAAGGTGATACACAAATAGCAACTCCATTTCTGCTTTCATTTTCCGAGCCTGAAAAATATAGAGTGTGGCCTGACGGGATAGTGTAAAAGCCTGACCCTCTCTTGTGTGTTTCAGTTATTCCAAGAACTTCCAGTTGGTATTGCAGTTGTTCTTTACCTATAATATCCACTTTCCCCGGTTCCAGTATACCTCTGACATTCCATGTCCCAATCCTAATCTTCTTGCGAAGTTGAGGGTGTTTAGCTGTGGTTGGTGTGAATTGAGACGATGTGTTGATGTCACCAGTAGCATGCTTTACACACTGAGCCTGATGAGTCACTTCAGTGGAACCAGTAGCATACTTCACACCATGCGACCTGGAATCGACATGGCGCCGGGTGGTAGCCGGATCGCATGCCATCGTCCTCTCAGTATCAAACATATTTCATGACAAGTTTCGTGGGAGAATAGTGCAGTGGTTTCCCCTTGCCTTCTGCACCGCAGTGATGTTATGTTTTTATCAGGAACGCCCTGCTGCCAGCGCCCTTCATCCAGACTGAGTGATCTATTGGGTCCGGACCCCCTGTCTCCCAGCTGCTTGTCGACCTATATCTCCATAGGGGTTGGTTACCGCTATCTCGATGATAGGTTGCTCGACGTAACAGGGTTCGCCGCGAGTAGGCTGGGAGTGGAGTTGGTGAAGAGAGGCTAAGTGACTGCTCTTGAACACAGGTCATGTATTGCGCATCATCCACCCTTGAACCCCATATATATATAATATTATATATATATATACACACATATATTACATAGGTATGATGAGTTTTTGTGGGTTGTATTATAACGTGTTTTCCCGTGGGAATGAGATAATCTTACGCAGCAAATAGTAGACTATGCCATAAAAAATCACGCCCATTCGTCACTCTGTTTCGACATGAAACAAGAAGAAACAAACAAACACACTTTCACATTTATAATATTAGAAAGTATTTCACCTATTGCGGAAAAAACACGTTCATATAATTAGTTTATTTTTAGTAATTGTTATAATAATTGTCCTCGTATATTGATATTTACCTGTAAATATCTCAGAAATGTAATACTTTAAGGCACAATATTGCTTATATTAATTGCCATGACAACCAGTTGGTGGGATGATGTAGGCAGGCTTATGCCAGTTTCCACAGAAAAATATTCAAACAATCTTGTCAATACATATATGTAGGATTCATGGATACAAATAAAAGGGTTTATAACACACCAACTGTTTATTTTATTCAAACTAGAGAAAACAATGTTTCGCGTAACGCGTTCGCGTTATGATAAAACGTCTTTTTCTTCTATTTATCTTTCATTCCATCCTATTCTCAAAATCATATGATACGTTTCTTTTTACTTTTAAAATATCATTTCACGCATACTCATC